AGAGTGCCATCGATAGAAATTCGACTTGCCCTTCAGGGTGTCGATGGTGTCGATGGCAGGGAATTTCAGCTCGCAAAAGTAGGCATGTCGGGTGTACGAAGGTGGCATTCTGATGGTGCACCACAACTGCTTCCAGAGTTCAAAATGGAGGCTCATGAGATCAAAGGGGATATGTGGATGTGCTTTTGAAGCTCCAGGTCCTTCATCGCTCAATCGGAGAGGATTTAGCTCCTGATTCACTGTCGCCGTCTCCGAAGCACACACGTCCAGGTTTGGTCTTAGGTGGGTAAGACACTGGTCCACACTGACTTTTCGTTCTGTCGAGATACTCTGGCACAGGCCGTTTTCCAAAAGTCCCTCAAAAAACCTTTGTAGCATATCTAGGACTTTCTGTGTCGTTAGCGCGCCGATAAATTGAAACACTCTGATTGCTCTCCACTACTTGTGACGAGTTGACAGCATTTCCGAATCCTCGCCTGATTCTTCGGGGATCTGATTCAGATGTCCCCTCTTGCCCTGCAGCCGCAAACAGGAGTCCAGCTTGTCCGCGAGAGAATCCATCGAAGGTCCACGGTGAGGGAGTCCGGTGTAGGACATACCCAGTGCCCGGCGCAGATATCTCTCAGCCAGTGTATAGTCTTCACGACTCAGACAAAGAGTGGCGAGCTGATCACAAGCCCAGGCTGCACTTCCACTATTTTTCGAATCCGGATCTGCCGTTTCATGCTGGAGAATGCGGTGTGCCACTCCCTCAATGGCAAATTCCTCATTCTGATCCGCATACAGCCTACCCAGAGCTGCTAGCGCAGTCCTATAGCGTCTGGGATGCATCGACTGGCTGTCTTTGATCAGTCTCTGACATATATCATGTGCCATCTGGAACTTCTTGCGTTTTCGGAGCATGTCAATCTGGTCAACTCGCAGGGCAAAGAGCGAAGAATTGCTGGGCTTTCGTCGGGCGCTGTACCCTTCAACTATCAGTTGCATCATGGACTCAACGACACGATCCCGATTCTCAGAAGCAATCGTCATGCTCAGAGCTTTGGCATAAGGATGAGTTTTCCCAAAAGCACTTGCTGCCATGGATGAGACAAAGCTTAGTAGATGCTGCTCTAGCTCAGCCATTCCTAGCCATGGCGTTGCAAAGTGTACCAGTAGGCAAGATAGGAGTTGAAGAGGTGCGGAATATAGCAACGGCTGGACCATATTGCAGCAGATGTCGAAATTCTCCCACGCTTTGCTCGATCTTCCCGTTTGCAAGGATTCGAAGCCATGGTAGAGCCCCAGCCAAAACGCCGACACTTGATCTGTCTGTCCAGCTCTCACCTCTTCTGGAATAGAGTTCGGGAATCGATATTGCAATTCGTTCATTTTGAGCCGGTTGAATGCCGTAAACTGCCACTGCACGGCCTCGCGAGTGTGGAAAAGGCTGGATTGCATGTTGTATAAATCAGTCGGCGGCCGGACATCGATCATCATGAGACCGAGGCCAGTGCCATCGCAGCTTTGCGCATTGAAGTCGAAGTCTCCAGGCGGAGTACTAGAGTTTGAGAAGGCATTCGGCCTCTGTAGGGCCATAGTTGGCGACTCGTCCTTGATTGTAATGTCTCCTGCAGACGCCGACTCTGGACTCTGCGATAACTGTTCCCAAAGCTGAGTGAACCTTTTGTCGCTGCGACAATGGCGTTTGACACGATCTAACTTCAACGGTCTCCCTCGAAACGAGATCGACTGAATGTCATGCCCGGCGTCAACGTACTCTTTGACCCGTTTCGCCAAAAGTTCCTTGTCTTTTGCTTTGTAGTTCTTGTGGATTTTCCATTCAGTGATGCGACGCTTGAACATCTTCTCGCTAGCATTGAAACCATACTGCTTGCGCAAGATGGTCCTCACGTCTTTTAGCTTCCTGTTCTGACCAATGTACAAGTCAGTGAAGACATCTCTGATATCAGTCCACTGCTGAGGGCTTGGTCCGGCAGCCCTCCACGTTTGAGGATCTTGCTCGGCATTCTGGTACACGAGATTCATCGGGTCGACAGTCTCCAGACCTTTCTCATATCCTGACATGTTGTCCTCAATGCACCTTATTGTGTCGTCAGCCATTCTCTATGTTGTGCTGGAGAAAGAATATTGTGGTCGCAGATCGAACCAGAGTCGTCAGATCGGCGAGCTGAACACCAGGTCCTTGCGATCCGCTTATATAGTAGTTGAGAGAGAAAGGAACAGCCATGATTGTAAGGAGGAGAACGCCTCGAAATCTTATTATGATGGCATTTGACTTGGGAAGCATTCATCGATACTGCTTGCAAAAGGGCTGAGCAAACTCGAACGGGGACGCAAGAAGATGCCATTGGACGACAATTCCTCGGAGTGTCTGCCTCACTGCCTCGTGAGCCCATCCACATGGTAATGAGGTGCATTAGTGCTGGAACTTTGTGTTAGCAACCAATCGAGTTGAGCTGCATCCGAGAGGGAACTTTGGTAAACCAAGTACACCATGGCAGCTTTCATTTTCATCGATATTCTGCCGGGAGAGGCCTTATGAACACGAACAGACCGAAGCTGACGAGAGAGGAGGAAGAAGCAGAAGTGCTGATCAACAAATCGGAATAGATCAGAGATGGGTGGCTTTTACAATGTGCCTCTTTCGAAGGGTAGTCATTTTTTCATGCAGTCGTGAACTTCCTGTCAGACGATAACAATGACCTAATCATATGCACATAATAATCGAGTAGTTAATGTACCAGGAATGTGCCATCTTCAGTGTCAGACAAAATCCTTCCCGTCAACCCCAGAGTTTTACCTCTGCGACGCAGCCTCTTACGAGCTTACAGCTTCGCCAGGTTCACCCAATGCTTGTCCTTCGACCTCGACACTCTGTGCCAGTTCAGCTTTCCGCCTTTTCTCTTCCTCCTCAATTTCTTTCAGTCTCCTTTGCCCCTCTTCGTTTGTGGCATCAATCACCCCTTCCTGGAGACTGAGCATGTTGCCTTGACCCAACAGCTCCACAATCTCTTCGGCTTCATCCACACTCATCTTTCCCAGAACTTTGTTGACCTCGTCTAAGCTGCCACTCTCTAGCGCACGTTGTAGTCCTGGGGGAAAACGCTCGAAGATCTGGCGTGACTCTTGCTCGACAGGGTCATCCGAGCCTGGCTGGGGCACATTGATGTGGATCTCCGTTCCAGGCTCGACTGCGTGGAGCTGAATCTGTTCCACACCTGCTGGGTCGTTTCCTTCCTCCTTCTGTAACTCGGCCGCACGTGTCTTGATGCGACCGTATGTTTCAGCCAAGTCCTTGTTGAACACCTGCTGCGCTTGGTGTCCCTTGGTAGTGATTCGTTTGAAGAACAACCCGACGCCGTCCCGACCTAGCTGACGACAATATTGAATCAGGAGACTCTGATGTACGCATGTCCGCGCATAAGTATCCTGCCCTTTCATCTGAGCGTTGAAGGCCTCGATCATCAGGGCATCCTGGGTCTTCTCATTGACGATGTTCGGATGCTCGGAAATGAATTGTAGACATGCGCGGTAGTCTCCAAGCTTGATCTTTGCGAACTGCTTGCCCTCTGGCGTGAGCTTAAGACTTGCCTCATCTTCTTCTTCATCTTCATGCTTGTCCAGGAGAGAATCATCTTCAATATCCGCCTCTGCACCAGAGGAAACAGCGCCCTCACCAGACTGGAGTGTATCCCGTGCCTGTGAGCTTAGGCCTTGAGGTGCGTTGAGCAGTTCGACCCTCTCCGTTTTCGGCTTTTCCTTGGCTTTGGGTTTCTCGGCAGAGCTCGAAGCTGGTTTTGGTTTATTAATGTGAGACGAATCGAAGCCGATATGAATATCCTCGCTTGTGATCTTTGCGGTCGCCTCCTTCTCCAACTGCGCGAGGCGCTTTAGCAGATCCTGCTGCAGTTTCTGGACCTTGGTGAGGTGACCATTCACTCCCTGCAAAAAGTCTGCGTATCTGTCTGTGGATTTGTCTTTCTTCTCGTCGATTTCTTTCTTGACCTGATCGACCAGAGCCCCCATCATCTTAGAGTACCTAGGCTGCTCCTTCTGGTGCGTGTAGACACCTGCGGGGGGTTTGGGCGGTTCATCTTTGGCGGGATCACCGGCGCTCTCGATCAGACTCTGAAACACAATCTCGTCAGGGTTCTTTTTGTTTGCATCTTCTTGGTGTCTCTTCAGGGCGTCTAGGAGAGCATTGATGCGTTCGAGCAGTCCGTCGTTGATGATTCGTTCGTATTTGAGCGTGTCAATCTCATGCTTTCGCTGTGCGCGCTGTTCGTGGATTTGACGCTGTTTGGCTCGGATGAAGCTCTTTGTGTCAACGTTCGGGTGTACTTCGACGTCAGAATCGTCCGACACCTCGAGTCTATCCCACTTGTCGTAGGAAATAGGCATGGTAAGGGTAGAAGAGGAAGCAGGCGTTTGATTCGAGGAGGCAGTCAACTGGAACACGAGAGAGGAGCGGACTCGAGTCTTAGCTTGTTAGATTGCTTGATGTTTGCTGTTCTTGAGCCTGTTGAGCCTCTTGAATCTTTTCGAGGTCAAGGATGCTTCTAGAAAGGGATACCTAGTGTCTGGTGATCATGTATTAGATGTTTGCCATCTTGAGCAAGTGCCTCTGGTGGCCCTGGTGGCCCTGCCGGTTACGTAGTGGGGGTGACGTCCGTGGGTTGCAGGTGGAAAATGGAGGGGCTTAGGCCAAGCTCCATTTGGTACGGGCGAGTGCTTAACTGCTAGGGGCGGTTAGTGGGAGCTCTTCGGGCGTCCTAGGCTCGGTCTCGCGTCTCCGTTCATCGGCTCGTCAATCGTCATTGATCACATCCGTGGCAGAGGCAGGCAGCTTTTTCTCACCTTCAATGCTCTCATCGCGCCATTAGATATTGTCAATTTCACCGGTTTCCTTCCCATATACGACCGCCGCCGAGATGAAGAGGAGGAGAGACACGCCCATCCCTTTACTCCGCTGATTCATTCCTCGATCCACTACAGGTATGATCGCTACGCGCACCTCGGTGCTGCTTGCTTTCAGGCCTTTTCAACATGGCTCCCGATTAAATCAACTTGACCAGAATATCCTCCTTTCGTTATATAATTCCTCTCCCCGACACTCGCGGATACTATCCCGCACTCTGCATCAGCTGGTGCGATCGAACCCCTCCAGGAACCAAAGCCCATTTCAGTCACTGAAGTTGCTGAGCGGTCCTGCACTTAAGGCAAGCGGTCTCAAGACACCCTTCAGTCCTCGAATAGCCGCGCAAGCAGTATGCTTTTCGAGCGGTCGCAAACTACACGAGACGCCTACTCCGGTCATTAAAGAGCAACAGCGAACAAAATCTACCGACGAAACGGATGACGAGGATGCGTTTCACAGAAGTGAAAAGGCACACCAAGCTTCGCATGTGAACCTCAGTGCGAGGCTATCAAAAGAGGGTGCTACGGGCAAGAGCTCTGGCTTTGGGGAGATATGGCGATTGATCAAGATTGCACGTCCAGAAGCGAAAGTCCTCGCGCTGGCCTTTATTCTTCTCCTGATATCCTCATCTATCACCATGTCAATACCATTTTCAATTGGCAAGATCCTGGATATAGCTACCAAAGGGGGAGCGAAGACGGAGGGCGTCGAGCTAGAGCAGAAGACGGATATGCTCTTTGGGCTCAGCTTGACAACATTCTACACTGCCCTTGTGTGTATTCTTGCGACCGGCGCGGCAGCAAATTACGGACGTATCATTATCCTACGAATCGTGGGCGAGAGGATTGTGGCTAGACTCCGATCCAGGCTCTTCCGGCAGACCTACATTCAAAATGCCGAGTTTTTTGACGCCAATCGTGTAGGCGATCTGATTTCCAGACTCAGCTCTGACACCATCATTGTTGGCAAGTCTATCACGCAAAATCTTTCCGATGGACTTCGCGCTTTCGTTAGTGGAGCTGCTGGTTTTGGCCTGATGGCATGGGTGTCTCTGAAATTGACCGGTATTCTGGCACTGCTGTTTCCCCCGGTTGCACTCGGGGCATTCTTTTATGGACGAGCGATCAGAAACCTGAGCCGCAAAATCCAAAAGAACGTCGGCACGTTGACGAAGATTGCAGAAGAACGGCTCGGCAACGTCCGGACTTCGCAGGCGTTTGCAGGCGAAATCCTCGAGGTTCATCGGTACAACACGCAGGTGCGTAAGATCTTCGAGCTGGGAAAGAGAGAGTCCATCATTAGTGCGACCTTCTTCTCGTCCACCGGGTTTATGGGCAACATGACGATCCTGTCACTCTTGTATGTGGGTGGGGGTATGGTATCAAGTGGCACAATCAGTATCGGAGAGCTCACGTCCTTCCTCATGTACACTGCATACGCAGGTTCTTCCCTCTTTGGGCTTTCGTCGTTCTACTCGGAGCTGATGAAAGGCGTCGGAGCGGCGTCACGGTTATTTGAATTGCAAGATCGGAAGCCAACCATCTCTCCTACGAAGGGTACAAAAGTGGTATCAGCACGAGGTCCCATTCGATTCGAGAATCTCTCATTCAGCTATCCTACTCGCCCGGCTGTGAGTATCTTTAGGAACCTGGATTTTGAAATACCCCAGGGTGCAAACGTGGCCATTGTTGGCCCATCTGGTGGTGGAAAGAGTACAATTGCGTCCCTAATCTTGCGGTTCTATACGCCTACCGAGGGTCGCATATTGATTGATGGCAAGGACATTGCAACGATGAATGTCAAGTCTCTCCGACGCAGGATTGGTATCGTGTCACAGGAACCGGTCTTGTTTTCTGGGACCATAGCCGAGAACATCGCCTATGGTCGACCTCATGCGACCCGAGCAGAGATCATGCGCGCAGCGAGAAGAGCAAATTGCCAGTTCATTAGCGATTTTCCCGATGGTCTGGACACTCCCGTCGGTGCGCGTGGCACGCAGCTCTCGGGTGGCCAAAAGCAGCGCATTGCCATTGCTCGCGCCCTGGTCAAGGAACCCGACATTCTGATCCTGGATGAAGCCACCAGTGCTCTTGATGCCGAGTCGGAGACCTTGGTGAATGAGGCTCTGGCCTCGTTGCTCAGAGGGAGTAACACGACAATTTCCATTGCCCACCGTCTGTCCACCATCAAACGATCCGACACCATCATTTGTCTGGGTAGCGATGGACGTGTTGCGGAGATGGGCAGCTACAAGGAACTCAGCAGTCGACCCGATGGGGCTTTCACGAAGCTGATGGAATGGCAAATGAGTGGTGGGGAGAGAGCCCAGGATGACGTGGACAAGTTGGCAATCGATGCCGAACATATCAAAGGGCCGCCAACAGAGAAAGATGAGATTGAAGTGGAGCTGGAAGAACAAAGTGAGGGCGAGGGCGAGAGTGAGGAGGATCTTGAGGCCAGCAAGGCACAAGAGACAGTTAAGAAAGCAGTGGAAGAGAAGAAGCCATGATCGCAACTCTTCCAACCGACATTGTAGTTGATGGAGTTGGAGACTGGCTACGACGCCCGAACGACGTGGCTACTATCGGGGTGGCCTGCGCGTTTACCGCTCGGGGTTTGACTCCAGGAGTTCTTCCAAGTCCGCGAAGCCGAGCACGAGTGCGCGCAGATATACACAAACCAGGCGTATCATGCATATATATGTTCTGTATAGGAAACCCACAGGAAACGGTTGGGTACAGGAGCTGTGTCGGCCTCGAACTGTGCTGTATGTATCCAGAATTGGGGTTCAGATCTTGTACGATGAAATGGGAAAGAAAACACCGTCTCTACTCAGAAGGTGGAATTTACCGTGAGTGAAAGCAAAAGGCCTCAGCAGAAGAATAGTTGGGATTTACACATGCATCTCAAGGGATGGCATGGGCCAATCTGATATGCTGTAAGTTGGCCCAACAAGAGGCCCACAGCGCAGCTCCTCTTCCCAACCGCAGTAACCGCAAGCCAAATTCGCGCTTTGTATCATGCACCCCTGTCTTCTCCCACTCACTAGATGACGAGTGCACGCAGGAGAAGCCGTTCCGCCGTGTTCGGGTTGTCGTGTCACATATCCCTCTTGCTGCCATGTGCGTCTGTGCCTTTTACTTTTTTGCCATCCGCCCAGAAGGGATCTTCCAGTCATGGACGGCTACATTTTCGAAACTGCATTCCGTCATGTCATCCTCAAACCTCCTTCCCTCATATCCCTCCGCCGGTTCCCTCTTCCCCTGCAACCTGGACGGGTTCAATTGATTATGATTGACGATTGATCCACGGCTTAAGTCGAAAGAGAAGGGGAGATAAACACACTATCACAAGTAGCAGCACAACAATATACTGCATACTACTCATTGTTCCGACACTCTGTTATGGCCTATAACGTGCATACTCTGATCACAGAGACCCAGGATATCGCAGCCAAAGGCCTTCACGATGTCAAACCACCCGTCGAGGTCCCGAGCACCTCCGTCGATAAGCCTCAATCGCAACCGAAGATCCGCAGCAAATACCGGCATGTTGCAGCTCTGCATTCCAAAGTCCGGCCGTCATGTCTCAGCCACGAAGGGATAGAGACACCGAGCTTTATTGGATTCCGCAATCTCATGGTCTTGACGATCATTGTCATGAACCTGCGGTTGGTCATTGAGAACGCCAGAAAATACGGCCTCCTAATCACGCTGAAGTCGAACCTTCGGAGTCAGGACATCAAGATTGCTCTGGCCCTCTATGCTCTTACGCCATGTCACCTTTTTGTCGCCTATATTATCGAGAAAGTAGCCATGGAAAATGCAAAAGGAGCCATCGGGCGACGGAAGAAGACAGACCCAGACGCGAATAAAAGGCCTGAGACGGAGAAGCAGACGAAAGAATTTCTCAATACTTGGTGGTGGATTGCTGTTGCGCACACCTTGAATGCTTCGCTTGCGTTGCTCATCTCAAGCTTCGTGGTCTATTACTGCATTCACAATCCCGGCTTAGGGGCGATCAGTGAGCTCCACGCTATTGTGGTGTGGCTCAAGACCTGCTCCTACGCCTTCACCAATCGAGACCTCCGGCATGCTATGTTGAACCCTGGCGGTCCTGAATCGGCTCTGCCAGAGATATACTCAGAATGTCCTTACCCCCGCAACATCACCCTTCCTAACCTATGTTACTTCTGGTGGGCACCGACACTGGTCTATCAGCCATATTACCCACGCACCGACCGTATCAGATGGAGTTTCTTCCTCAAGCGGGCTGGAGAAGTTATGGCCCTGAGCGTCTTTATCTGGCTCACATGTGCACAATATGCCGTTCCGGTCCTGCGCAACTCGCTCGACGGCATGGCGGTGCTCGACTTCTCTTCCATTGCAGAACGTTTGATGAAGTTGTCGACTATATCGTTGATTGTCTGGCTCGCTGGCTTCTTCGCCCTGTTTCAGTCATTTCTCAATGCCCTTGCCGAGATTATGATGTTTGGCGATCGAGTCTTTTACGAAGATTGGTGGAACAGCACCAGCTTAAGGATGTACTGGTCTACCTGGAACAAGCCTGTCTATCACTTCATGCGGAGACATATCTACTCCCCTCTGGTCGGCCGCGGCTGGTCATCCCGAGCCGCCAGCGCGTTGGTCTTTGTGTTTTCAGGACTCCTCCACGAGCTTGCTGTCGGAGTGCCTTCCCACAACATCCTCGGAGTGGCTTTTCTTGGGATGGTGCTGCAGTTGCCTCTAATTCAGATCACAGATCCTCTGGCAAAGATGGATGGGACCGGCAAAGTGGTTGGTAACTGTATCTTTTGGATCAATTTCGTCTTCGTTGGACAACCACTGGCTGCAATGATCTACTTTTTTGCTTGGCAGGCAAAGTTTGGAGAGCTCAGCAGGGTACGAAGCTAGTTAGAACGTAGCTCAATTAATGAAATATCGATTACTGTCCAAGGAGTGTTCGGCGCATTTGAATCAGAGACGATTTCCTGGCATATGCGGCAACCCAAGAGAACCTCGAGGGTAGATCACGTGACCTGGCGATCCCTTGTTGTGACCTACGTGGATCTCTGCTTTTCGATCGCTTCAGCCTTCGAGTGTACAGACTTCGCCAACCATTTCTTTGCGATCCAGTGTGCAGTGGGCTTCGTAACTGCTCACAGTCTATCTCCAGAAGTCAGCCTTCAATATCTCGGTGGGCGCAGATGTTGACTTAACGAGCGAGCCATCCCGTGTCTCGCATCTAGTCCACTTCTGAATTCCTTCGCCGAACCCACCACCTTTATCCTGGGATTATCTCCTCGATGAATCCCTCTATTAGTCACGATGTCCAATGTCTACGATGATCAAGAGGGAGGTGGTTTCCGTCGGCGGAGACCGCGACCAATCACTGATTATGGCTCCTCAATGATTCAGTGGATGAGCAACCGCAAACCCCCTTACAAAGGAAGCTATCACTACGAACAAGAAAGACCGAGCCAAAGCTATGTTATTGATATATTGCCACCCCCAGCTCGAAGAGATGCCCCGGCCGAGTCGATCCCCGTTCGCCATCTTCACACCTCTTTGGGAAAATCCAAAAAGCCTGTGACGGTCGTGCGGTGGATGCCCGAGGGTCGTCGACTTCTTGCCGGCGTGCACAATGGCGAATTCATGCTGTGGAATGGCATGTCTTTCAATTTCGAGACTGTTACTGCGATGGGCTCTAGTTCTCTTCGGGCTGCGGAATGGTCTAATCGGAAGGACTGGCTGGTTGCAGCAAACGACGAAGGCACCGTGTATTACCTTCAGCCGACTCTGAACAATCCGCATCAATTCAAAGGCCACGATGCTCCCATCAGAGATCTGGCATTTGCGCCCTCGGACGCAAAATTCGTCACCGCATCCGATGACAACACTCTCAAAATCTGGGACTTTACCTCTTCCACGAACGAATCGACCTTTACAGAGCATGGATGGGATGTAAAAGCTTGTGACTGGCATCCCACCAAAGGCCTCGTTGTCTCGGGAAGCAAAGACCACAGCGTCCGATTATGGGACCCTCGGACATGTCGGAATCTAACAACACTGCACGGTCACAAGAATGCCATCACGGCCACTGTTTTTAGCCGTCTTCGTGATCAACTACTTGCTACAGCTGGCAGAGACGGCCAAACACGTATCTTTGACCTACGGATGATGCGCGACGTTGCTATCTTGCGAGGTCATGATAAAGGCGTCACTACCGTATCATGGCATCCAATTCATCCGAGCCTCATCAGCACCGGAGGCGACGATGGCTCACTGCATTCCTACCTACTCACCGAACCCAACACACCAGCTGGTATCTCCTCCACAACAATATCTCCCTATGCATTGTCAGATCCCCGTTCTGCCCCTGCACAATCCATCTATCCCGCCCACCGCATTTCCCACGCTCATGACTCCTCAATCTGGTCTATCGACTGGCACCCTCTGGGGCATATTCTGGCTTCCGGCTCAAACGACCACTTTACGCGGTTCTGGTCCCGCGCACAGCCTGGGCAAACCACTTGCTTCAAAGACCAATTCCATTTGGGCGAAGAAGGAGCAGAGGCCCAGGGCACATGGGATAGAAAGTTTGGGAGGAAGCAAGCCAAGGAGTTGGAAGAGCAAGAAGAGCAAGACGAGGCAGAGGGGCTGGAGGACCAGGCAAACCAGGGACAAGCAGCGGCTGCCGGAGGATTGTCAATCCCCGGTTTACCTGGGATACCTGGCCTTCCTGGCATAGGAATGAACGGGACGACTCAGCCTATTCCGGGCACTGGTCATGTTCCTCCGCCACCACTATCGCTCTTGTCAGGCCTGCAGAACAATGTCGGTATGGCTGGCAACCTAGGCCGGCCTTCCTCGCGTGGTGGTCCAGGTCAGGCTCATACAGCAGCTCCACCAATGCCACCGTTCCCTCCCGTTCCCGGCATGGATGCCGAATCCCTTCAGCGCCTGCTTGCCTTGACCCAACAACAACAGCAGCAGCCGCAGCAGCATCAACATCAGCAGCATCCCAGTCTACAACCATTCCCAGGCACCTCCACCGTCCCTTCGATGGACTTTGCAAACTTCAATCTGCCGCCTGGCTTCCCACCCCCTCCACCCACCGCCGGTAGCCAGATCGCACCTCCTCTAATGAGCTCCGCCCCCGGTACTGGCATTCCCGGTATCGGAATTGGAGGCGGAGGAGCAGGCATCCCCGGCCTCGCTGGAAACAACGGCGGCGGCACCCCCCCACACGCCTCCAACGCCGCTAATGCTGCCGCCATGCGACGGCGAGCGCCACTACCCAGCCAGAGTGAGGGATTCAAGGCAGAGCAAGCAAGAGGGAATTACCGCGTGCCACGATAAGTACAAGTAGTTGTCGCTCGCTTTGGCGTCGATGCTCGAATCCGTCAAGTGACGAAGAACTGCGTCCCTGCGATATCTACTCTTATGGCACGGGAATTTCTCGTCTCTCGTCTCCTTGTTCTTAGTTCTTACGAGTCTTGGGCTGGCA